GTAAGCTTTTGCAAATTATATATTCTAGACGCAAACCAATAAGATCAGCTGCCAAAATAAACAGCTCCTTGATGCAGCATTTGTAAGGGATTAAGCCTGACATTTCTTATCAGGAGGAAATTCCAATATGGACTTTTAAACCTCAGCTTAACCTTTTTCCATTTTGAAAAACAAGAAAAAGAGTCCATCAGTAACACTTATTCCAGACTGAGTTGTACAGAAAGCCTTTGAGGTAACTTGCTTTGTAACTTACTGCAGTCAGTAACTACTCTCAGAAAATTATGTTAAAGCAGAAATTCCTATTGAGCTTCTTTTTAAAACTCAGTTCAACCTACGAAGATTTCAAGCAGGTTCCACTGGCTGCATCCAGCCAGTAGCTTAAGCATCACATCAGAAAACTTTTATGTTTTAGGAGATGAAAGAATTGTTTTAGATGACCCAAAATAAGACTTGTTAAATATTCAGCTTAACAGCCAAGTTTAGATTTCCATCTTTCCTGTGGGCTCCCCTTCAGGTACTGAAAGGCCACAGTTAGGTTACCTCCAAAGCCTTCTGTTCCCCAGGCTGACCAATCCCAATTCTCTCAGCCTTTCCTCATAGCAGAGGTGCTCCAAGGGTCTGAGCACCTACAGGTGACAATAACCAAGTTATGTGTGTTCCCCTGCCCAAGCTTAAAAGCAACTGTAGAGACCAAAATCAAAGTTCAGATAAAATCCAGTTCATTTAGGAATTCCCATGACATTAACAAACTAAAAATGTGTGTGTCCCCTAATTAACGACCTTACAAATGCCTTCCACATAGTACAGCTAAAGCTACATTGATCCACACTGGCTGGAATAATTCTCATATGTACCAAGATGTTTGTGCATTCAGTTCAGGATGAATTAGGAGATGTGGGGTTTTAAGAGTTCGACAACAGTGATTAAGGGATTAAGCCTGACATTTCTTATCAGTGCTCCTTCTGAGAGATGAGGCAACAGGAATTGTGTTTTGGGTAGCTCAGGTTGGTCACTCTGGAGAAAAAAATATTAATTACTCAGTTTAGCATGAAACTTTGCTGATGCATATGGTGATGAGCATCAGGAAAAAACATCCTCTGTGTCCTCCAGGAGCCCCTGGGATTACAAAATGTTTACTGACAGCAACAGAGACAAACTACTGTGGGAAAAAGGCTGAAGAGCCAAGAAACCACTCACACGGCAGCACTGCTGTCTGCACAAGAGCTCACAGGGGAAGCTGCCCCCAACACCAGCCAAGGGAAGCTGCTCTTGGGGTGTTTAGGGCTGTTTTGCCTTTTTACCCTTTAAGAAAAGCCAAGGTTTCTGAGCAGCCTGGAAATCAGGACACAAAAGTGTGACCTATCCCCTGAGTGATCCCCCAGCTCACCTGTGTAAAACTTTGTGTCAGATTCCAGTTCAAAGACGCTTTTGGTCTGTGAATCAAAGTGAAGCCATAGTCCAATTGCAAGCACTGCTGTTCCTGCAAGCTGTAAGAACAAGGAAGGCTTGTTAAATGATACCAACTAATTCACCCGGCCTTGCATTAGTAACAAAATCAGAAACAAACACAGGATACAGCTTTTATTTAAGAGATGGTAACAAAGGACAAGCATAAAAGGATGGGGATACCAACGCATGAACAAAGTCCCAGACATGAGGCACCTTGTTGACAGAGGCATTTACATAATATAAACTCCAATGCCACAGGAGATCAATGCCATTCTTGTTCCTTTCTGAAAATATCCATGGTTTAGCCAAGTGTCAGTATTTTCACTGATCCTTACACACATTGTTTTATTCTGGGTGGATGCAGACATTGCATGGCTTAGTGACCTTAAAGCTTCATACTGAAGAGCAAGTGTATTACAAGGAAAAGTGCCTTGTAAGGCCAGCCGGAAGTTTTAGTGTATTAAACAGACTGCTGAGAGTTCAGTCTACCATGGAAGGGAGTTAAAGAAGAGTGCCATTCTTGCCAAACATGATAAAACCAACCCATTAAGTGACCACACTGACAGGAATAAGAAAATACCAGCTGCAGCAGTAGAATGTTGCTGATCGGGAGCAATACAATAGAATTTTAGTTAATATTTAGTTTTATTTCATTATCATGTCTGCCTGTATGCCTTCAGGTTCCTCTTAATATTGGTGCCTGTGTTTGCAGCAAGTCACTCTGGATGAAACATCTGGCAAAAGCCACAGGAAGTGTTGCAAGAAAGAGGGCATGGCACTCTGGTAAGGCCAATGGCAACAGTTTGCCTGGAAGAGACTGAATCCTCCTTTAAAAAGAAAAGAAATGGGGTTTTCTTGCATGTAAAAAAATGAAGAAACCAGGACAAAGTATAAAGCTGGAGTGTGCTTCTCAGCTCTTCCTTTGAAGACCACTGAACTATTAAAAACACACATCAAAAGCAAAAATAAAATCCCAACAAGGCCCTTGCAGAAAGAAACAACATTCCTGATTTACCTCTAAGAAACTGGGAATTGTTTAATAATGGCAATTTTTAGTGGGAATATGGGCAGTGCTCCCTTGGTGAGCACCCAAGAATATGACAACCCTTCCACACCAAGCCCACCTGAGAGGTGGGAGCCCAAAAGCCCCTTCTCCCTGCTGTGGAAGAGTTCCTGCTCACAGGCAGCCCCAGCTTTCCTAAACCAGCTTTTCCTGTACAGCAGGAACCCAAGTGCCAGGCCTGCCTCCAAGAGGAGCTGCAGGGCTGTAACTGGGAAAACAGATCAAGTAACACACAACTCAAAGAGCCAAACCCACCTGAAGGATTCCAGACCTAAGCAAAAGGCCTTTGTTGGTGTTTCTGGTGCTTACTCCAAAGGCACACCTGCACATACCTCCTGCTTGCCTGGCTAGGGCTACCCTGACAATATGATTAAGTTATGCTGGAGCACCTTTGTACAACACAGAATGCCACAACAGCATCATTATTTCAATTTCTTGTGCCACAGCTGTACCCCAAGGGGAGGGACAGGTGCAAAGGGGAGGTGCAGAGAGAAGGGTTGCTGCCCTCCTGGCTGCAGCATCACTTCAAAAAGCTTCTGCCACCCTCATCTCACCCCAGTGCTTCAGTTCAAACATCAGAAAGGCTTAGTGATGGAAAGAACTCTTTGAGACTGCTGTTAAGTCACCCAGTATTTAGTAACACTCTGCTTGAGGCTCCCTTTCTTGGTCGTCCAGCAGCTGTCGGCTTTTATAGCAGATCCAGATCCCCCCATCATTAGAAGAAGCCTAGAGCCTCTGCTGGTTTTGCTAGGAACTCCTAAATTGTGAGGCCACAAGCCTGAATACCCAGCTCTTCTCACCTACCAAATTTATTTACAGCTTGACAAGTGCTTGAATAGAGAGCTCTGCAAATGGAGCAGGGCACAGAAAAGGACTGTAAAACTAAAGAAACTCTTAAACCATAATGTAGCCATGCAGATAGTCTTAAAATTCCAAGCAAAGCAGAAGGTTCAGTTAATGCCCTCCAGAAAAAAAAACTCGTCTGTTCACATTGGGCAGAGATAATGTACCTAATATAGCTCCTTTCAAAACACAATTTTAACTCTTCCCCACCACCACACATAGGTACATGGCATGTTTTCTCCTTGAAAAAGCAGTCACTTAATCACAGAAAGATTAAGAATGTGCCAAGGAGACCTGAGACTTACGGGATCACAGAACAGTGATAACACTTTATGCCAGTGAACTGCTGCACAGCACTAAAAAAAGGGGTAGAATTAAACAGATTGATAATTCTCTGCATGGTGGATTAGAAATAAAATGCAGCTTCTTCATGCAAGAATAAGAGACTTTCTGTCTCAGTTTCTTAAGGAAAGGAGACTTATGTTCTCAGATTGTGCTCTTCCTACTCAGACTGACCACTGAACTAAAAAAAAGGCAGTTTTGGAGCAGAAGGCAAGAAACTTGAAGCTTCAAGTTTCCATCAAAACAAGGGAGAAACGAGGACACAGCAACACCAGCCTCTGAGGAAGAGAAAAGCACAGCCCCACGGGCACTTGCCAGCACCGCTGGCCAGTGTGGCACACTAGAGGCTGAGGCACTGTCACCTCCCTGCTCACCCACACTATGCCAGCAAGATGGGATCTGTGCTGGGATGGTTTGGGAGCTGTGTTTTTCCTTCCTGGGAAAGGGGTGCAAAGCCCCCAACCTCGGCTGCGTGGAAGCAGATCACCAGATAATCTAATTGCTGGGTTTTTGTTTGGTAATCCAAGGGGATTCCCCATCTAACAGATCTATTTTGTCACAGGAGTTGAGCAATACTGTGCATTTCTAAGTAGCTCTATCCTGCGCTGAAAGAGAAATTTAGTAGGAAAAGAACAACACTGTATTCCTGAAAGTAATCAATTTTGTCTGGTTTCACACACACAAAGAAGAGAGTAGGTTCGTGTGCTTATCAGACAGGTAAGTAGTATGTTTTTATAGTGACAACTACAGCAAAAAGAGCTCAGAAGACAGAGTTGGGTTTTTTCCCCAATCTGGCCAAAATGTGAAGTTAAAGGGATACTGCTCACTCGCTGTTTTGGAGAAGTTTGTGGCAGTGATCTTCCAGTAATGGCATGTCCTGGCACAATTACACTACTGACTTCCCCGCTCCAGCAAACCAGGCTTCCTTGTTTTCGCTAACCACTACTCCCAGCTCCTTCCTGCTCTGCTTGGATGTTCCACGGCTGCAACAATGATAAAACTACCTGGCCACTCCTCTCCTACCCCTGTGGAAGCTTGTCAGGTTGTTTTTTTTTTTCATTACATGCAAACACACCCCCTTTGCTCCTAAAGCTCACTCCTGCATACAGCTTTCTGCCTGTTGCAACAGGAAAACCAGCTTTTTTGGTCCATCTTCCTTACTGACATAGCCCTGCACGTTCCCTAGTGAGCCTTCTGTGCAGGACTTCCCTCCTCTCATCCATTCCACTACTCTGGGGCATCCCCCTTGCTTGGCCTCTGGGTAAATCAAAGGGTGTGTCCCAGCCTTCCCTGTGAGAAGAGATAATTGAGAAAGGACCTGAACCAGTCAGGATACACTTGAGATGAGAAAACCTGTGTATCCTGGAGGCAGCAGCCACAGAACACTCTGCCTTCCTCCCCTCATCATTCCTGGCTAAACTGAGCATGAGTTTGGAGTGTGCCACAGCACTGAACACTACCAAACAATTCCCAGAGGATTTCTGCCCCGCTCTGACTCCTGAGGTTTTGCAGATACGGCCCCCCAGCAGAAGGCTTGCACAGGATACCCTTAGATTTAATGACAATGTCATAAACATGTGTTAAAAACTTGAGTTTTAAACAAAAAAAAAACCCCAAAACACCATTTGTGTTAACACATCCCATAGCAGCACAATGTGGGGGGGAAAGAGGAAAAGAAGGGGCAAAAGAAGGAAGGAAGCGGCGAAGGCAAGCGGGAAGCGGCGAAGGCAAGCGGTGAAGGGGCGAAGGGAAGCGGGAAGCGGCGAAGGGAAGCGGGAAGCGGCGAAGGGAAGCAAGTGGGTTTTGCCATTTTTCCATTTTTGACACCTTTAGGCCAAGTTTACATACAACTTCTACCAAGCTTATGGCATTACCTCCAGCAGAAGAAGGTATGTCATTATGTGAAAATAAAGAAATCAGTCAAAAAGAAATACTACTTTCAGTGTTGTCAGCTAAGTATGGTATCTAACAGAACACTTTTTCTTGAAGTAAGAAGGTATGTCAGGCTCAACACTACTGTTCCATATTTAGGTTTACACCCGGATGTGACAAGAAGGCATTAAAAAGTCACCACCTTCACTTCATAAACACTTGAACTTTTAGCTAAAAATCTGATTGCATAAGAATTTACTTCTCACTGTTTTAGACTGACTAAGAAAGCCAGAACTAGATCTATAACGGTGCAAAGTACAGCCAAAGAAATTGAGAACATTATGAGTAGTAATGAACCATTTCTATCCTTTTACTGGCTAGTACTCCATAAATAAAACCCCATAAACAGTAACTACAAGTGAGGCTCGATGCCACTCTAAACCCTCAATTACAGAATTAGTGTTATCCACAACAGCACAGGTTTTCAGAGTTTTGAAACAGCTCCCCTAACACTTCTGCTATGTGGGCTTGCAGTTATACAAGAAACTGCAGCTATTTTCAAACTAGTTTGGAAAATAGTGGATTGGAAAGGAAGTATTTTCTTTCTGCTTAGCAAGTTTCAAAAATGTTGTGGCCTATGTTAATGCCACAGCACCTTTTGCAATAAAATGGTGCTCCAGTACAGTACGAGAAGCATTACAAAATTCCTGAATCACTGCCAAGACTAGTGCCCATTTCATACAAGTTCCTATTCAGAGGCTAGTCTACTATATTTGCAATTAGAATTACAAATAGGAGCCAGAACTGGTGGAACTCTAAGTAGCTTCACATCAGATTTCTCAAGGCAACAAACTCCAAACTCCATTCCTGACCTCACAGAACTTACCAGAGTCAATATACACTGAGCTGAGCCCAAGC